AGCAAGTTTCCGGTGAACCTTGTTTGTTTTATTCTAATTTGACTGCTAGAATCGCGCTTCAAGTATGCCGATGAGTGAAGAGCCGATGAGTCATCACTCGCCGCGCGCCGCGTGGTCCCCCCAAATACGTTAGCACCAAATAACGGGGTTCTAGGGATAGTATTTTTTCGAGAAAACTGTATCCACAAGTAGGTTGCTGCCACAGTCTTGTCAGTTCGGTGCGTGAGAGCCGGTGGGTGTCAAGACAGTATCGTGCCGCGCTAGGCATAATGAGCGACGCCGCGCACGCGGAGACGATTGTCTGCTTGGCCGTTCGAGTTTAAATGTTGAAAAGGAGAAACATCAATATCACTCGGCATGGAGTCTCCCCTCTTCTTGAATCCAGACGAGTCACTGCTCTAATCAACAAATTGATGTACGTCGCAAGTTCGCCGCGTAGGACAGCACGGTGCCCCGCGCGTGGCGGCGCGACAGGTTATGATTCTCTTGTCCGTCTCCAGTGAGAGATTTCGGTTGAATGCCTCCGTTCATGGTAGATATCAAGTTCATTTGGTTTGGATGACAACCAAGTCAGGCATGACTGGAGTAAAACACATGCCCTTTTTCAAGCGTGCTTAAACCACGCCTGGTCCCAATGACGAAGGAAAACAGGTGCCCCATTTTCGAGGGCTCGCAATCCACGCCTCTTCCTAATGAAGGATATGGGGCATTACATTCACGGTGCGACGACACGGCGGAGGCGACGTCACGTGCACGGCATTCGCACCAGGACATGGAAGCGCTGCAGTATGTTTAGTCAACTAGCCAGGAATTGCAGTTTGTGTGCATTGCGGCAGGTAAGTATAACCTCCCGTACACAAAATGACACAGGTGTACACGGCTTTTTGGCAGTGTTTATAGTCTGCGAGCCAGCTGCAATTCAGCGATCAGTGGTGGAGGGGTACATGGCAGGATTATAATGTGCCGCGCTGGTGGGCGTGGCAAGCGACCTTGCGCCCTCGAGAGACGAGGTGTCTTGTTTGGCGTTCGAAATCAAATGCCGAGTTGGGGCACCGGTAAGTATGTACGACGAACGTCAACTAGAACGTTTTATTGAAAAGAAAATCGTCTATTATAACACTATTGAGCAAATCACGCAGTTACTTTTGCTTCCTCGACAGTGCGTCCTTCGCTGGAAAATAGAGCTTTATCATAGGGTGAGAGCAGAAGTTCTGAAATTCCACTGAGAAATTCAACCGAATAAGCAACTTACACATTCTCCATGAACAGATTCTTACTGATAAAGATAGGGATCCAATCCATCTTTTCTTCCACCTGGAACCAAAGAAGTGAGCCGAAGATACAACATTTCGTGTGGTTACTTACATCTCCAGGGACCGCGCGGTTGCTAAGCGCAAGCTCCATAGGCCTTCGGCGCGCGTTCAGAAAGTTATCTCTAGATAGTGCAGTTGAAGGACACGTTTCGGGGCTACTGAAGAGATTACCCTGCGGGGTGGGACGGTCGAGACAATCGTAATTTGTCGCGCCTCCGCGCGCGGCGCATGGTGCGACATTTTGAACGGCAGTTTGAGGATGATGTCCTTCAACGACAACTAAGCTAATATATCTAACTTGTGGTCACTCTTGTTCAGGTATTCTATTAGGGAGAAATAGTTAACATTAAAACATCGCATATGCGGCTGCGAACTATCAAATTGCCGCCTGTGCCAGGCGACATCGCTGGCTACGCCCAGTGGGCGATATCGCATGTCGCCGCCAGCGATGTTGCGGCGCGGCGCATTGCGGTCGCCTTGTCACATACCCCGGTGAAACAGTCTGCTGGTCTACGCCTTCTCAACGAGACAGTATTTCTTTTCTTGAGCAAGTTCATCCTCAGCTGAGCGCAGACGACCAGAATGAGCGCAACCTAGTCTCATCGCGTGTGCCCCTCCCACGCGTAGCCCTTGGATTTTTGACAGCGAGTGATATCTCACCTTCCAATGATTCACTTCGACAATTCTACCAAGAATGTCGAGAATGTAGTCAAAGTCGACCATGTCTTCGAATACCAACGTATTGATGTAGTCGAAAATCAAGCTCATTTCTCGAGGAATCGACAGGTAAACGTCGTTAACTGAAGAAAGTTCGACGTACATGCAGGGAATAGGTATTGATTTTTGGGACAGATGAGCGCGTTAGGTCAGGCGAAAATGTTGAAGTAGGTGGCAGTGGAACTAGTGGTGAAAAGCGGCGCAGCCGGCTTGGTGGGGGCATTTTGCGGGTTACCATTGATCACTGTCGATGCCTCCCGTGGAAACCTGTAAAGTCCTGTGAACAGTGCAAAAGCAGAAATTTCGATTCCACTTGACAAGAGTTTACAGGTCTCACCAGCTAAGACCTGTGAGTTAGCAGGATCAGCAGAAGAAACAAGCAGAAGTGCAAAATGCCCTCCCTAAGCTAAACTGCGCCAAGAAGCCTGTCTAATGAAGAGATCTTGTACGACTTGAGCACTAACTTTCTGGTTTGAGATCGCTTTCGGTGAACAAGTCATCCCGACTATGCATGAGATCATCCTGAAAAGTGCGGGGTACAGTAGCCCGAAATTAGCTGGTATACTCGCTAACCTTCAAACGGAGCGTCTCGTCATTGTCCTTGACTTCACGCCACGGTATGCATTTCTCGTCGAAAATGTCCAGCACCATGTAGCACCTTAGTAAAATTGCCTGTACTTAGTGGAAGGTCCTCGCGAACCACCCCTTTTGCTCTCACTCTTGTTTTTGATTATTATGACAAGCTGAGGACGTGTCTAATGGTTCGAGTACATCGCCGTGACATACGCTCTCACCATGATTCCACGTCGTCTTTGCGGCCTTGCTCTTTCATTTGGTGACATGCTCTGGACGCGTAGCGCCGTGTTCCCATGAATGCTACTTTTTCACGAGGTTCTCTGAAAAGTTTTCGGATTTTATGCTATTGATAAGACCCCAGTGGGCTCTCTGCATAGATTTCCCTCGGTGGTGTAGTACAGATATGCTGCCAAGGAGTGAGTTGCTAAGGTATAATGACGATTTGTTGACGTCACAGAACACGTTGAGTGACGTGTCTTGTGACGCCATGACGAGGATGACACAATACAGGTTGTTTTTCTATTAACCTGCCATCTCTATCTGCCCTACAGGTAACAGACCTGCACCTGCATTTGTACCCGCTTCTTAACTTGGCCTATTTCTTGTAGGAATGTCTTGTACATCGCTAGGATTCGATATTGGGAAGGATCAACGGTGCCCTGTGCTTTGGTAGGGGCCACCAGCGGAGTCAGCTAAGGAATAGCCGGCTCATCCACGCCTTCTCGTCGAGGCATGATCTAACATTGATAGCATCATATATTCCCTCTGCAACTGGACCGCAGGACGTGGCTGAACCTCCTTGGGCTGGGGCCCCTTCCGAGGCACATAGTGCCAAATCGGCTTTTCCCCGCTGAGCTTTACGTTGGCATATCATACCGCCATGAAACTTACGGGATGATTCCGTCATCTCCAGCGATACGTTTGGCGATGCCGAAATCGAGCATGAAAATGGTCTCATGTGATGGTTTATCGATACCTATGGCAAAGTTGGCGAGTTTCAGGTCCCTGAAAAGGACCAGCTTCCGAATTGTCGATTACTTATCGATAGGAACTTCGAGAAGAATGGGAGAACATCGTCACCTGGGGGCAGCGTTTCAAGTCCATTGCGATAACGCGCATCGACGCGCTACTACTCTAACGGCCGCGTCGCGCTGAGGTTTGCCGACGGGGGCTATTTTAATTATCACTGCTTCCCCTAGTTCTCACAGCTTTCACAAGTCTTTCCTTTGTAAAACTTGTGGCAACTCTTGTGAAGCCTAAGTAAGATCGTCTGTTTACTATCCTAGAACTTGCCTGTGATCTCGCGCACAGAATGGCTACGAGTGGTGGACAACATCTAATGGGCAAGCAAAAATCCCGCCATCCTCGTCGACAAAATTGCGCCGACGCGCGCTCCAATGCTATGGCTGGAACGCAGCTGTAGACGGAATAGCCGATTCTGGCACGGCCCCAGTGATGTTCGAGAGAGTACAAGAGAAACCGGTGCTAATCAGCTGGTGTACCCTTTATTCTGCCTGCCATAGTCTCTCAAAGCCGAGGGCCAGAACCTGTCGATTTCCATCTATGGCTGCGTGCCCGTGAGAGGAGTGGAACAGCGTCTCGGCGTGCGTTACAGCGTGTCATCACGAAGTCTGAACGCTGCCTGAGCGGCTATTCTTCCAAGAACATCTACAGCTGAAACGGTTCAAACGCTTTAGGATGGTGTCGCCTGGGATATCCACGTTGCGGCGACGCGCACAAACAAGCTTGTTGTCTCGACATATTGTTGCACTGCTATGTTAAACCAATTAGGTCCTGCTGCGGAATGTCCTTTGAGTGAATACAATTGTAACGTCGCTTTTGCAGCATATTTGGAACGTGGATCTCCTTGTAGACACCAGCTAGAAAACTTTGTTTGCCTATGCACTGATCCAGCAGAGGGCCTGGAATAGATCGCATTACGGGTATCCTGCTTTTGAAGAGCTCCTTATTTCCTTCAGAGGCCGTAAGCTTCTCGACTTTGATGACCGCTTTGCGACCGCGCGCTTCGTTCCTACGTTGTGCGACCTTGGTCCAGGATCATGTCTCAGTGCATTAGTTCAAAATGCATCCACGTGCGAGATCAGAAGATGGGATAGGTTGGGAAGGCAGCAAGCGAGATCAAAGCCACGCCCGCGCTGTGCTCTCTTGCGTCCTCACCGACGTCAACCAATTTCGTCCAACGCCATCTAATTGTAGGGTGAGGGAGAACACAGAGCGGATGTGGCTTAGTTTTGCTGTCATTTGCCCCACCCCGACCCCCTCCCACCATAGCGCTGCCCACAGTTTCTTCAGGTGGTGTCTTCGTTGTCATACCTGTGCAGGAAGCCAATGTCGTGAAGGTCACGTACAGCATTCAAAGTCTGCACGCAAATCTTGATGGCCGTCTGTTTCCTGAAATTATTCATCACTGGGAAAAAGTATCGTTAGGGATCGCAGCGATGGTGACGTTGATGCAGTGCACATTCCATGATAATCAGATGGGCGGAGTAATGGGCAGAGACTCATAACTATAGTGTCTACCGTGAGTGCCTCGCTTCTAGCACCGCAGAGAGGAAGGACATCCCACTGAGGAAAGCACAGTAGCTGTGAGTCTCCGGCCATTCCTCCTCCTTGATTATCGTGGAATGTAATGCCAGTGAGAAAGATAATTGGCGATGCCTTGTTCTAACAGCGATTAGTAGCTTTTGAAAGTAAGTACTAACGAAAATTGCGCTCCATTTAGCACTTCGCGACGAATCTTGTCCAAACTCCACCCAACAATAGGCATCACAATAAATTTGAACTTTTGTGTTACGCCACGATCGATAAGCCGCAAGAAATGCCTTCTGTACTGAGCATTACCGCACGCGCTGAGCACGGTAGCTTCTACCTGAAATGGGCTTTAAATTGGAAATCCGGGGCTTCGCTGTGTCTTGTACCTTACCTTCAATCTATTCAGCCTCGAATCGATATCAACATCTTCTGTTTTTAGCGCATAGAACTGCCCAGTTCCTAATTGTTTTACTTTGTAGACATCTCCAAAACCACCCGATCCCAATAGGCTCACTATTTTATACCTAGGTAAAAAGTCATAAGCAGAGAAAAGGATGGAGTGTGGGCGTCGGTCAGTAGGATCACGTACTCCTGTTTGCTGCGAGCGCTAGGGTCTCTCAGGTGGAAGAAGGGAAGGGGAAAGCGCCTTGTCAACTAGTTTTCCACCAGTTGTGGTTGCCTGCCAGTCTCCGATGTTGGTTGGCGCCACTCCAAACCCACCTTCCTCCCCCTCCCTGACGCGCCTTAGCGTCCGCAGCGAACAAAACGCTAAGTATGTTTTGATATGCGTTTAGCCCATTTACTGTTGCCGTACAGTTCAGAAATCTGCGTATTTTTCGTGGACCTTTCCCGTTTGGCGCATGCTGTATACAGTTCGGTTTATCGCAGCAGATGGGCCGTTTCAGCGGATTCAGACGACGCCGTGCAACAGCTGTCGCGCGACGAGCATCGAGATGCACTTGGCGCGGCGTTCCGCGTTTCATTCTCAGCACTTCTGTTTGAGCGAGCAAGTCACAGGCCTGCTATCATATTGTCGCTTTCTTTCGTTGTGAGGCAGGATCCGTGTTCAGCAGACTGGCAGCGGAGGGATTTGCTCTGCGGACGTTGGACTGGTCGATGACAGATAATGAGCCGCTGCACGCTCATACTGCATGACACGCTCCAAACGTCGGTTGCAGCGGCAAGCAAAAACCAATTATTTACGTACTTCCAGATAGTTGCAATTGGATTGTGTGCAACTCCTCTTATCTTCGATGCTTTCTGAGAGCGATTCGTGGTAAGAGCGCATACTGATGGTGGAGTTCTAGGGGGGTGCCATACCAGAGAAAATTCAGTCGGGATGATACCGGCAAGCCATTTTACCATGTCCGTATGATTTCTGTTCTTGTCACCTCTTAACCTCCACAATGTCATTTTTCGGCACCCAGAAGTAGCCCTGCGCCACGCTCGTGGTAGCTGCGTTTATATGACTGATGGAGATGAGGAGTGGCGGCTTGACATTTGATGGGTTTTTCTGATCTCACGTTATAATATGCCCCCCCCGCTCGGATAGCGAAATTTTTGAGCTTAAAGCTGGGAAGTTATGCGAGGGAAATTTTGGAAAAAAAGGGGCAGGAAGTTGGGGAAAATCTGATTGTAGAGGGGAAGGGTCGTATTGTCTCGCGGCTTTTCCTGTTTCACATGTGCTATTTAGCAGGGCGGCATGAGCCGCTAAAGGTGGCCACGCTGCCACAAACAGTAAACCTAGGATAGATCTCTTTATCTCGATCTCGCCCAGACAACGGGCCAGGTTCCATACTTTTCACGTTTTGTCACTTTACTGCCGAGATAATCTGAAAACAGCTAGAAAAGTAACAACGATATGCACAATCACACTGCCGCTGAAAAGTGTGACGAACGGCGAACGTCCGTACTTCACATCTGCGATCCCAATCCTTGCTAATCGCCGCGGTCCGAGCGATTGGCGTTCGCGGAAAGTATGAACGCAACACTTGTCAGTGCGCATTCAATACGCTTCTGGGGAAGGACAATGTGCATGTTGCGAGTATGAAGGGCGGAGAAAAGGGTCTGGTCGGCAATGGATTTGGATGGCTGGGGCCGAGCTGAAGGGTAAATAGTGCAAGAAGTTGGCCATGCAGGTTTAACTCTTTTATTCGCTGTTAGATGACAGTGATTTGAGAATGGTTTGGATGCCGATGGAGGAGATTGGACGGTTGATGGGCGAATGTCTTATAATCAGATACGGTGTAGAGTGTGTGGTCAGTCTTGAAGGGGAGAAAGAGGTTCCCGAATCACCGTTGAATTCGTTCAGTTCGGGAAATTGATTCATGTATGAAGTGTTTTTCTGAAAAGAAAATGGGGCCAATGATGGCATGGGCGAGATTAATTATACTTTATGGTTTTGGGGTGTGGTCGAATTCTTATTGAGGTGATGCGGCCAACAGAGATACCTGTTGGTTGGTCATTTGAGATTTAGTAATAGGGTGTAGGTATAGTTTAGATGGGGGTGTTGTGGGCTGTGGCGCTTATTTCTTCACATAGTGAAGGAATTATCGGGAGTCAAACGCGCCGGGGTGCAGGTTTATCGGGGTGGAGTACTATTCAATTATGGAATCTTTGATGGATGAAACTCGTGGTGGACAAATTGGAACTTCGTTGAGTAGGTGCAGTGAGCAGACGTTCTCTCCGGTTGGAATAAGAGGCCTCTTTCTTTTCTTTCCTGGAACAGTTGGTTCGAAACGAGATAGATCCCAAGAAGAAGCACCCGTACCTTCACCACCCATGTTGGCACGACCGCAGTGACGCACTTCTCAAGATGAAACTAGTAATGACCCTACTTCTGCCTTGAATGCCTCGGTAATCTGATAGTGATAATCGTTCCCTACCCGAGCAAACATATTCGATTGATAACTCAGCGGTCATTTTTGTTTGGCCGTCATGTTAGTGGCCTAATGAGTTTTCATCCCATGGGATCCATTATTGGCCACCCTTAACGGGACCCGATCGTGCCGATCCAGTGCTGTACTTACATTAGTTGAATCACGGGAATTAGACCGCGCTCCTGTTCGTCTATGCTCTCCGTAGCTGACCTCGAGCCTCTACAGACCACTTGAACTCAATCCCTTTGATCGTGCCAATTTTCTGTTTTTCCCTGAACTCTCTCGCAGGCACGACTTTCTGTGATCACTATGACGTCACACATCCCAGCTTTTCACGCATGACAAGTGGAACACTCGCCTCGAAGTGCCCTCGCTCGCCACATGCTTTTTTGCGGGAGACGGTCAAGACAATCGTTGCCGCTCCCTCGCGCACTTCGAGTAGGGGGTAGGGCGGCGAACGTTTTTTTTTTTAAATACTGCATTGGCTTGTTGTGGAAGCCCAGACCAGATTTCACGTGCTGTAAATGACAATCACGACAAATCCCTGGCTAATTTGTGAGTTATATATTGCGCTAATTTTTCGCTCATTTACGACTGTACTTAACGTGTCGTCATTTACGGGTGCCGACGCTCGCACGCAAACGCCATGCCGCCGTCGAATATACGTAATGTCTTGTCCACATCCCCGTTTTTTGCAACCCGTTTCGATGCTTTTGGCAACGGCAAACCTCCCTCGATTGTCTGCGCCCATTCTCATGTCAACAGATCACGCAAAAGATTTTCACGGGCCTCAGCTCGCGTTTTTCCAGAAAATGTGTCCAGAAGTTATCATGAATAAACCACAATCTGTTCTCACAGGTGATCTCGTAGGAGGTCGCAGGCGAGCCAAGAGAAATTGTGCTAGCGTGCACTCTCTTGGCGTCGGCTAGAAGCTTCGTCTCAGCCTTGCCTCCTTTGCTCTCTGCACATTTGTATCCTAACCCGCTGCTCATCCGCATCCTTTGGAATTCAGAAAACCAACTGAGGCTTCAGGAGCCTAAGGCTGAGAGAGGGGTATGTGGCAAGAGAATCGTGACTCGCCGCGCCAGTGAGGGTCGCGTGCGACGTCGCGCCCGCTGCCTTTATTTACATGAAATCCGATGCTCGAAAGGGTAGCGCAGATCAAGGAAACAACGTCGGGGCGACGCCATAGACGCGCGACGAAGCGGCTGACTTACGTTTTCTTGCACCCGGAGAGAGAGGCGTGCTTAGACGGTCTCCTTGCTGGTCTCATAATAAAGTATCAGCTCATTCCCTTATCACTTCATTCTTACCATTTACAATGGAAAGTGTTAGTAACAGAACAACCGCACCATGAGAGAGCTTTTAAAATGAAAGTTGTACAGCGTATGGAATAAGGGGCGGGGCACTGCCCTCGTCGCGATAATGTGGCACCTTTATCACATATGCTGAGCCACAAAAGCGATGCATCGTCTGTGCTTGCAGACAGGACTCCCGTCTCAGGATATCTGTCGAACGAGAAACTTCCCTCGTCCTTTCTTTTCCTCCTTAAACCTTTTCCTTCCTTCTTTTTCTCCTTCCCCCTGCTTATTTTCCTCCCCCGAAATGTTTGACCAGAGAATGCTATGATAAAATACCTCTGGACCCTCGCAAAGAATGATGTGCTCTGCATCAGAACGTCCTAAGAAGTTTCGCGTAAGGAGCAGGTTGGCAACTGTCTGCAATTACGGCATGCGTGTACCGTATACCGAATATGCAGGAATGCAATCCTAGAATTTTTCTTTGGTTAAAACTATCGAAGAAGAGGGTTGCCCCATCGCAATGAGATGTAATACTCTCAAAATTACTATTTGTAGGACTTTCTGCTGTAATTTGTAGTTGTCTAGCCTTTCTGAATTTCGCCTTATGTTGTGCAATATGGCGCAAATATTAACTCCGTCCGGAATCCTTGTTTATTTTCCATTGAAAAGATAAATCAGTAATTGAGAAGCGTGAAAACTTGGAGAATGCTTAGCTCCTCTTCTTCCTTTCGCTTTCACTAAAATCCATTTCCTCATGAGTTTGGGCTGCTCGCAATTTTTCGTAATGAAATTCATTCAGATTTTCCTTGAATAAGCTTTTTGCAGGTAATTTTCAACGTCGTCTCGCTCGTTACTATCCAGTCGACGGGTTCAGACTATAAAAAAATGAGTCGGAGAGGACCTTTGCAAAAGAATGAAGAGACGGACAAGCCGTTGCGAATTGCTATTGTGGAGAAAGATCGATGCAAACCGAAGAACTGTGGACTTCTTTGCAAACGATCCTGTCCTGTAAATAAAATGGGTAAGTTTTTAAATGATCGAAAACTTATTCAAGCGTCCATTGATGTATATTGTCACATTCCTTCAGAAACGTTTTTTAAAATTCTTACTTCTTCACAAGATACCCCCACCACTGATTTGTGATAATTTTGGTCCCGTTGTCCATTATTTGTAGTCGCGGAATATGTCTTTAAGTCCGCTACCGTTGCAACTAAGTTTGTCAATATTTCCAGGAAAACAATGCATTGTCGTCGAGGCAACATCCACTATAGCAGAAATTTCCGAAGTGCTCTGCATTGGTTGTGGTATATGCGTGAAGAAATGTCCCTATAATGCTATCACGATTATCAATTTACCGACAAATCTCGCGAATGAGACTACGCATCGTTACTCGATGAACTCCTTCAAATTACATCGTCTTCCCACTCCACGTACTGGAGAGGTGCGTTTTTACTGCTCTCTGAAAAATTGGCCGTTGGCTTCCGAAAGAAGGGTTGGGGAAGAGGTTATGTAGCAGATACACGAAGTGTGGGCCACTTACAGCCGTCTATAATTCTCTTTGCACTAGCGACATTTGCATCGAATTGCTCAGTAGCTGATCATCATGGTCGCTCAGCGTACGGCCAGTCGTTTCGAATCGCTTATTCCTCGGAGGGTACTGCGACGTAAAATAAAATGTACTATTGCCGACTGCACACATCACGCGCAATCTCACACGCCACACACATGCTGCCAGGGCACATCATTGGTTGGGGAATCCCCAATAGGAGGTCGTAATTGTCGCCAGGAGGGGAGTCGTATTTGAGCTGAAAAAATTTATTTTGACAGTTGATTTTTCTTGCTTCATGGACGTTGTAAGCGGAGGGTCGTATTTGATCATGGGGGTCGTTATTTACTTTGTGCGTTCTAGAGTGGTTGGTGGTTGGGGTTGACTTTTGGTGATTTTCCTGTTTCACGTACTATATGCCCCCCCCCCTCCCCGCTCGACAGCAAAATTTTTGGTAAAAAGTAGGGAAGTTTTCGGGAAATTAAGTGAGGAATTTTCCGGGAAATTTTTGAGAAAAAAAGCAGGAAGTTGGGAAAACCCTGCGAATTGGTGTAAGAATGGGTCGTATTGTCTCGCGGGCTGTTTTTTAGGTTCACAGGTGCTATTTTTTACACCTCCCCTCTCCCCGTCGACGGCTCATTCGATGGCAACACAGAGGGCGCTGGAGAGGTCGTACCAACTCCCAAAAAGGGGCGGGGGGGTCGTACAGGCTCGAACAAAATCCCCAACTAATGCTGTGCCCTGGTCGTGGTTGGGGAATACCGCCAACAGGAGGGTCGTATTTGGCCGTCCAGAAGAGGGGGAGTCGTATTTTAGGCTGACGAAAAAGTTATATGGAGTATGATTCTTTCCCGCTTTACGACTTTGTAAAGGTGGGGGGTTTACATGCTAAAGGAGGGGGAGTCGCACGGACTCGACAAAAAATACCCCAAAACGCAATGATGTGTTCCACTCCCGCGAAACTCAGCGTTTCGAGCTTAGTGGCTTTTCAGGTGTAGCTTTTCAGTTTCGAGTTTTGGTGTTAAGGATTTGATCACCCGAGGGATATGCTAGTTCCGGTGCTGTGCAGATGAATAAACTGTGTCTGTGCGAATATTGTCTCATTACATCTCAAAGTAACACGAACAGTTGGGTAGAGGTAGTTGATAGCATCTATTCCTTGGGGCCGTATGCTATGCTTGCCCCTGACAAGGGAACCCCAACACGTCGATACGGCCATTCGCTATGAGAGGTATGTAGATGGAGTTGAATTCAAATCTTCCCTCGAGATCTGCGGAACGGTTCTTTGAAGGGATACGACCATTCCAATCTCTGCCTGTGTCGCCACAAGTGGGAACGTATACCGACCAGGGTACAGCCATCGTTTGCTGAAACACATGTGGCGGCGCTACATGTTGATATGTGCGTTTTGAGCGGGGGATGTATTTTCGTGAGAGAGTGGGGGTCGTATGTGGCTTTGAAAATTTGCGGAGGTGGAAAAAATCTTCCGGTTGTTGACTTTTTCGCGGTGGATTTTTTATGTTTCTTTTGACTAGTATACTCCTCTCTCGCGCTCGCGAGAAAACCTCCCGGCGCGAAAAACTGGAAAATATGGGTGGGAATTGTAGTAGGTGTTGGTGGGGAAGGATCGTACAACACCCTTTTTTTTTTTTGGGGGGCGGGGAGGGTCGTGTTAGCTAGACAGAAGTGTTTTGTTTTGGGACTTATTAGATTGGCGGGAAAGTTCTGTCCCATTTTTCGAACTAGGCTTTCTTTTTATAGAGAGGCGTAATATCAATTGTACAGCAATGTTACTGCGGGCGTCCTTGCCAGTTTTTGAGCACCTCATGGATGCCATCGCTTCACAATGCAGGGAGGCGCGACGCAAAGTTGGACATCACCTCAATGTGACTGACTCGCTTAATGGAAGTCTGCTCTCACGTAACGATTGTGTACGGGAGACAACCAGCAGTTAGAAGGAGCAATGTCTGTTCTACACCAGTGCAAGGGGAGAGGAATCAAGCTCCATTGCATGAGGTACGGCTCGAACTTTCTAGGACGGAGTGCGCTGCACTATCATGATGAGGGCCTGTGCGGACAAATTTTTCCCTCTGATCGACATTTCGCCACCTCCAGTGTCGTAACTGCATTTGCACCTATTCACACAGTTGACAAGGAAGCATTCGCATTTTCAGATTTTCCCTAACTTCCTGCCACTTTTTTCCAAAATTTCTCGGAAAGTATCCTACTTTTCCCCAAAAATTTTGCTGTCGAGCGGGGCGGGGGGGGGGATGGGGTATTACAGTTACGCAATGAAAACAGAAATCACCAAAACGGAAATCACCAAAACTCAACAACACTCCAACTACTCCAGTAAGCCACAAAGTAATTACAGACCTCAGCCCATGACAATATACACCCCGCTCCCTTATACAAACGTCCCATGAAGCAAGAATAATCAACTGTCAAAAGAAATTTTTCTTCAGCCCCGAATCGGACCCCTCCTGAACCAAATACGACCCGCCTATGATTCCCCAACCACTGATGTGCCCTGACCACGACATGCCCTGGCAGCAATCTGTGTGTGGCGCGTGAGATTGCGCGTGATGTGTGCAGCCGGCAATAGTACATTTTATTTTACGTCGCAGTACCCTCCGAGGAATAGATGCGATCGCGGTTTTTTTTTTTCCCGGGGAAGGCGTGCGCCAGCGTTTTGGTGGGCTGTGCGAGCTTGAGCGCAACTGCCCGCAAAAACGCTGACATACTGATTCGAAACAAAATGCAAGGTCGACACCATATTTTCCCTTGTCGCTAGTGCTGGGCCCGTAGCCTCGAAAGCGTTAGTCCTCGAAACCTGCGTCCTAACGGCAAAGTTATAAACGTAGCCCCTTAAAAATCCGATGTGAATCCATCATTATGTTCAGTAAGGCATGTTGAGTCATCTGATTAACAAATACTGGCTGTTTTATGCGCGTCGCCGCAGTACGGATTTCCTGAACGCACAAACCTGACTACACCTTTCCGCTGCCTTGAGACGGTGGAAATACTGGTATATTTAAAAAAGGATATTGATTTTACGCACACATGGTCAATATTCGCCATTATTCGTGCGACGTAGGACTCGCTTTGCGGGGCATACAAGTAGGCAAGTAGCATGAAAGCGGGGAATGGGGGAAAAATTATCCTCACATTCGAACTGCTGAAGCTGATTCGATTTATTCTATTACTGACTGGCTCCTAAGTTGATTTCACCTCTGGCTGAATAACTCGTTAGGTACTTGGACTAGTCGGAACAAATGGTATTGGTAAATCGACAGCTTTAAAAATACTTGCTGGAAAGTTGAAACCAAACCTCGGGAAGTATGACGTGAGTCTATCCCCAACCATTCTAAGATTTCCAGATTTCAGAATCATTGTGGTTTCTAGGCTCCGCCAGATTGGCCGAGTATCCTACAGTATTTCCGAGGATCGGAATTACAAAACTATTTCACGAAGATTCTCGAAGATAATCTCAAAGCTGTTGTCAAACCACAATATGTTGACCAAATACCTCGGTATGGTAGTTGCGACTACTAGTTTTTTGAATGTTCTAGTGATTGATATGGATTTGCTAAAATTGCTGGTGATTCATGTATCTATGGTTTTTGTGTTCTAGAGCAGCAAAGGGAGGCGTGGAGTCGCTGTTGTCACGGAAAGCTGATAGAGGCAATCGCGAACAGGTTCAGAAAGACATGGGTAAGTTAAACTTCGCTCTTTTGAAATCTCGGGGCCAAAGCAGGAGGAGAGCAGGCGAAGGTAAACCAAGCTTGCTTTCTCACCAGGATAGTGATAGCTTCCCGCCTGAACTTAGCCAGAGGCAGACGAACAGAGTGGGTACGAGAACCTGTCGAATGCCCTCGTGCATCTTTAGCCCTGAAAGACATTGCTGGATTGGCCTGCTTAGTTTTTCGGTCCTGGACTCTCACGCTTTTTTGTTGGTCGGACCCCATCAGGGTAAAAGCACCGGGATTCGTGTACTTGACGGTCTCAGTACGCCTCTTTCTCTTCCTGGTACGACCTCCTCTCGACTCCACTTGCCGCTTTATCATGTTTTTCCAACACTGCCAGTTTTCCGAAATATTCAGCAGTTTTCAAAAAAAACCCGGTGTTTAGCGGCAGAGGGAAACCATATGGTGTGCTGGAAACGTCCTTTCAAGGTCAGGTACGACCTCCTCCTAAACAACCACGTTCCACTGCCGACGAGATTCTTCCGGCAGGGCTGTACAATGAACCCATGGGCTTAATAGCTTTCGATCTGAACTAGGTGTTTTTCTAAGAAATGACATTACAGAGCTTGATGGCCTGTTGCAAAGACAAATTGAACAGCTATCTGGTGGTGAACTGCAGCGATTCGCCATTGCGATGTGCTGCATTCAGAAGGCAGACGTCTACATGTTTGATGAGCCATCTTCGTATCTGGATGTAAAGCAACGTCTTCGTGCTGCTGCTCTTATCAGGGACATGATCGCGGCAACAACGTAAGTTTTAGTTTTCACCTCGCCTCGCCACCTCCTAAAAGACTTTTTAACACACTGCAGTCCGCCATTCTGCGAAGAACTTCGCATAATTTCGTCCTCTTTCGAATCGATACTTGGTAATTGCATCTCTTTTTTTCACTTTCGTATAAGAGATGTGCATCCCTGTCCACAAACGTGATCCCATAACTATAGGACAAGTAGTTGCCATGTAAAACATGTGAAACAGCACACAAAGAAAAATGTATGACACAGCTTGTGTGTCACGCGGTCCGGAATCGTTAAAAGTGTGGAAGTTGTACGTGAGAGTGCTGACAAGATGCAGTAAAAGCATGTTTCAGATATGTTATCGTGGTGGAGCACGATTTGGCTGTACTAGATTATTTGTCCGACTTTATTTGTTGTCTCTACGGTGTTCCTGGTGTATACGGTGTAGTAACACTTCCATCAGGAGTACGAGAAGGTATCAACATGTTCCTGGATGGATTTATCCGCACGGAAAATATGCGATTCCGGTATGTTGTTATACGAAATTCATCTTTCTTCCCACTGTTCACAGATATTAAGCGGCTAAGGTAGTTAGGATGAAAGGAGCGAAGTATGCGATGAGCCCGGGCCGCAGCTTACCAGGTTGTTTGGTGCTCTCTATAGCAGCGTGGTATCCATGTGGTGATTTGGCAGATTGAACGATCCGTCATTTGAGAGACTCAGCAAGCTGTCGTTTTTCGATTTTTTTTTCATCGAATGTCCGCAATCACTTGCGACCGGCACCAGTCGATACTCCTCCAGTCCTTTGGCGCGCATTTGCCCTTTCTCCCAAATCGCCGCATCTCTTCAGTCGCAAACTATGAACGCGGCCTAAGGCTGAGCCGGGGAGGTGTAGGGATTACTGCCCTAAAAACGCCGATCAGTTTGGTCATGTGGGCGCGTTCCCCCCTCCAACCACCTCAGCTCCGTCTGTGCGAGTTTCATCTACACAAGCAATCGTGAATTGACAAGAGAATGCTTATAGAGAAGACAGGCTGTGTTTCCGAGTTTCCGAACAAATCGACGAAGTTGTGAAGCGTACCGGAAACTTTAAGGTAGTTTTTACCTTGCATTCACGTCTTCGTCATTTCAATTATGTAGTGACATACTGTTCCCATGGTTGTCTTTTTTAGTACCCAGCAATGTCGAAGAACCTGGGTGCTTTCAAACTTAACGTTGAGCCGGGTGATTTTTCCGATTCGGAGATTATTGTAATGTTGGGTGAGAACGGAACTGGTAAAACTACAATGATCAGGTAAGTTGAATTGTTATTGTGCCTTGCTTTTTTTTCAAAGAGTTTATTTGATATGTCCAGCCAATTGTGGATTTTTCAGAATGTTGGCTGGTTCTCTGAAACCTGATGAAGAAGTAGAAATGCCAAATATGACAATTTCATATAAGCCGCAGAAAATTAGTCCCAAAGTATGAGAACTATGTAAGTTGACCTTTTTTACTCGTCCATTCTCTTTTAATTTGCATGACGAATCACCAGGTGCGACACATGCTTCATGAAAAGATCCCCAATATGTATATGCATCCGCAGTTCAAGTCAGATGTGATGAATCCTTTGATGATCGATCAACTTATGGATAGAGAGGTATGATAATTTTGTTCACTTGGTTTGCGGTAGTTTCGAATGATAGAGGGGGAGGTGGGGGGAGGGGGTACAAGTGACTCGTAGCTCGGTCTTTTTCACTGTTCCAGTGTTGGAGGGTGGGCGGGGGGGTTTACAGTTGAACCGAGTCGATCTCTTTTTAAGTGCTGCTACCCTCTACGCCATAGTATTATAATTTCCATACCATTCAAACACGTCCTGCCGTTGGGAAAATCTTACGCAAATAGACATTCCCTCGAATATCTACCTCTGGTGCGAACCGCTCTCCCCCATCCCCTATTTTACCTGCATTTCCCATCCTGATTAACACCACTCGTACTTACTTTCTCGGAGTTCCTCCAGAATTCTTCCTTCTTTCTTCAAAAGGAGGGCAATGACGACCATACTGATACACATAGTACCGCACGCCCTCCACCCCCCTCGTTGGGCACGCCTATCTACGACATGCCGCTCCCCTTACCAGACCAGCTGAAACCAGGTGTAATTGTGTGAGGATGACATTCTCAGCCGTCCCCTCCTTCCCCTGTCAACTATTGCATCAGACCCCAATACCGCTCTGTGGCAATGCCGACTCTCTCGACTACTCTTCTCTTACTGCGTCACAACCGACTACTAAGGCACGTCCGCCGGGGAGATTTACAAACTGCAACCCACTCAAGTTTTCTCCCTTGGTACGACCCCTTCCCCCATTTACCTACGTCTCACTTGACATCCGTAACTTTATTCTAGAGTTTCTACCAATTTCTCAAAAGTGAGAAGCGTACGAGGGGCAGGCTGTAGGGTACTAGAAACCAATCAAAACCAGAAAAAATCCGATAAACACCCTCGAAAAACGCGGATCGCGCTCCCCTGCCTCCGCGCACCAGCTAGAATCACTCTGGCGCGGTCATCTCGATATACTACCCGATAGTAAACGCTCCACAAGCCTAGTTTTGTTCAGCATTTTACGGTGACAAAACAATACACTGCTACCTGTCTCCTCGTTGCTGCTCATTCGTTGTACACGTTTTATTTTACTCAGTTGAAAACAGAGAATCTTTAGGTGCAAACACTTTCTGTGGTGAGTTGCAATGTGTAGCATTGGTGCTATTGCCCTGGAAAAACGGCAAGTGTTTTATCTGATTGATGCAGCCTCGGGCTATCTTTGATTCCGACAACGTCTACATGCCGCAAAGACTTAAACGGTGAGTTTACCAATTAGCGGTTTACTTTTAAACAACTATTCCTTGTCTTGACATCCAATAGCGAGTTCAGTCAAAGCAGGGGGAATCCCAAAACAGTTTCTTGTTTTTAGAAATTAGATGAGTAACAAAATGCTCATAAGTAAATAAATACACTGACTCGCCTGATTGTTCAGATTCATCATGCATGCTAAAAAGACGGCGTTCGTCGTTGAGCACGATTTCATTATGGCCACTTACCTTGCTGATCGAGTGATTGTATTCGATGGAGAACCGTCTGTAGAAGCGACAGCAAGAAAGTACGTCTTTTCTCGTTCATACGACGGCACTGTTCGGCTTGGAAGGGGGATTTCGAAAATTCCTTTCGTCAGCCATGTTATCTAGCAGGTGTCTCGCCAGAGTGGTCGCGGAAACTTTACAGGTATCCACATAATTGTCTGTGGAACCGTGACGGAATTCATCTAGTGCCCCCCCATCAACTCAAACCGAAACTGTTCAACAAACTTTTATCTAGTGCCCCCCCCCCAGCCACCAAAGCACCGAACTGTTCAACAGACTTTTAAAGGGCCACAATCAACACGACCTTTTAGAGGGCCACATAGGCCTTTGTTAAGCTATTACTGGAAGATCGGTCTGGTTTCTCAGAGTTTTTTTTCTCTCGAGATGTTCTTTGATTCGTTCCCTAGTTCTCTTCCAAAAGAGCAGCCCGAAATAAATGACCGATTTCATTTGCCCTAAAAATGATTGCCATTATGACCGCAGAATTTCAGGCCACAGAATCTACAGGAAGGAATGAATCGTTTCTTGAAAATGCTGGAAATCACTTTCCGACGTGATACGGAATCGTATCGGCCAAGAATTAACAAAAAGGATTCAATGAAGGACATCGAACAGAAGAAGAGTGGACAGTTCTTCTTCTTGGATGACGCTTAGGTAGGTACAGCCGTTTTCACTGCAGACGGTAGGGCGTGTCGAGGAGGGGCTGGGTTTGGCATGGCTTCAACCCATCCTCCACCAATTGTTGGGGGAAAGCGACAACAGTTAGTGCCAAACCGGCTGGAGCCGCGCCAAACACAGCCCACTGACATATCAACGCTTCTGCGGCCAAATGGCTATATCATTCCTTTTTCTGTTTGACGGGCGCACCGTGGCAAGGGGAAGGGACAGGTGGCGAAATAGGCTCCAATGACTCTAGTCGTCTGCGCTCTCCTACGGCTAAGCCTGGAGAGTGGACCAAATTTTTATTTTTCTGTAAGGATATAGATGAGAGTACTCAGCCATGTGACCCTTCGCAATTGCGGTAACGCTACTTGAGGACATTAGGCAACGTTCATGGTCTGCGATTGTAACAGTTTGCGTGAATCCTTGCCTAAAATTAGATGCGTATTGCTCTTTCATTTTGACTTATGAGCGATTCTGCGACAGGGGCTGACCGCATTGTTAGAACGTGAATCGCTAGCGTCGCTGACTATAAACCCTGCTCTAATTTCCTCATAAGCGACAGTGGTATTTCCGCTAGTGGTGGTTGTTCATGTAAGCTTATCAGTTAAGGAAAACAGGAGGATACAATAGCCCCACAAATTGCGCGTGATATTGAATGTATCGAAACCCGTGAATGCTTACATCTGCGCATACCGTAGGACAGTTTGGTTATGCCCTTTTGCACTGCTTGGTTTGAAGTACGTTCATCATTGTGCGCACTCTTGCCCGCTCTAGCCCGCTTAGGGTGGGGGGAACGGAGTAGATTATGGTGTGAGGCCAGGTAAGCGAGAGCAACGTTATCCCCCTTCCTACTGTAGCAAGGCCTGCTAGAGGGGAACTAGACAGTGTTTTGTGTGAACGCACTCAGTTTTACGCGCAGTTTGGGGTACTGTATCCCGCTCGTTTTCCTAAACTAACAGTTCGGTTTTGTTCAGTATAGAATTTCAATTTTCTTTTACAGGCTTTTAATTTATATCGAACCTCTGTTATTATTCTATGGCTTCTTTTCACCTTATTTGTCACGATGGTTCATGCTTCTGATTAAAATGGAAATATATGACAATGGAAATGGATTGTTGAATAGAGACTAATAGGTTTTTTGAGGTTTTCTATGGTTCTTCGTGCTCGATTATTAACCTTTCTTGTTTTGTTTGCTAGGTGTTTTTCAACGTCTTCCGGTTTGATTTTATCTTTCTTCTCTTAGCAGAATTGCTAGCGGTGCCGTTATACACGACTGGCGGTTAAGCTTGAGCGCTGAGAAAATGGGGTCGAAAAGGTCAGAGGGTTCTATGCATTGCTGGGTTTAGGGGAGGACTGTAATAGACCCAGGTGTTTCGTTGAGAGGTGCCGTTCAGGATTACCAAGAAGGAACCAAGGAAATAGCACTTTCTTTGGCATCTCACCCACTCGTACGCTTTCCATTGGCGTGAAAAGGAGGAGGAATGACAGAGGTTCCCTGGCTCCGTCCACCTTGTAATCACGAACGCTGTCTTTAAGTCCTATCAATGCCCTGCTGCTTGTATA